TTAGTATTTGCAACAGGGAGTGTATGATTTCAAAGTCTAAAATATATACTGTTTTTCCTTTTATAGAGAAAAGTTCACCAGTCCCTGAGGTATAGAAATTAAATGAGAATTTTTAGATTTGCAGTTTTCTGTGTGATTAGGACAAAATAAAATAATAAAGGAAAATTTCTTCTTTATTTATTTCTAAATTTTTTATTATACTTTAAGTTCTAGGGTACATGTGCACAACGTGCAGGTTTGTTGCATAGGTATACACGTGCCATGTTGGTTTGCTGCACGCATTAACTCATCATTTACATTAGGCATTTCTCCTAATGCTATCCCTCCCCCTGCCCCCACCCCATGACAGGGCCTGGTGTGTGATGTTCCCTGCCCTGTGTCCAAGTGTTCTCATTGTTCAGTTCCCACCTATGAGTGAGAACATGCAGTGTTTGGTTTTCTGTCCTTGTGATAGTTTGCTCGGAATGATGGTTTTCAGCTTCATCCTTGTCCCTGCAAAGGACATGAACTCATAATAAAGGAATATTTCTAATCATCTAGATGGCTAATAGAATAGCCTTCTTGATTTTGATTTATGTCATTTTTACCAAATTAAGGGCAAGTGGGATAATAATACTCTACAAATGAAGACATTGCAGCTGTTTAAATGGTGAAAAGTTTTTGGAAAATTTTGGTTATGATATAGAACATAGCACATAGCACTACAGGTATATCGCATCGCACTACAGATGGGCCACAAACTCCCAAGAACCTGCATCTTTCCATTGAAAGAGGATGTATTGCAAACATTCATTGTTTGTATGTATCAACATACAATTCAATAGACACAAAAGTAGCAGTAAATAAAAAACATATTTTTTTCAGTGCTGAATTCTTGGGTGCTTCATTAAATAATAAAATTGTATAATAGTGACTGACTTGAGTATTTCTGAATAGGAAAAGTGAAGAAAAAATCCTAGTAATCACTAATCACAATAACTCAGACAATAGTACATCAAGCTCCAAATAACTTTAATCGAGTCAGTTATTCAACTATACACATCCATAGCTTTCTTTTAATAAGCCTACACTAACCCTTTAGTTTCAGTGAAAAATCATTTCTCACACTAATGTTTTAATTTGAATTTTATCGACTTTATATTTTGTTTGCATTTTTTGTCTGATTTGGTAATTGTATAAAACCTATGAGCCTAAACAGTTGATACCAAATTTTATTGTTGGGTATATGAAAGCACCATAATATTAAAAAAAAGTTAGTATGAGAGTGGCCCCTTTTAAGAAATCCTGCACCTTACTCGATTTTGAAGAACATAGAATGCACCTGCTACCAGGTCCTGGATCTACTCCTAAATGAAGTCAGTCATGCCAGGGGCCTAAGACACATCTTTCCACAGACTGTCCTTCATCAAAGATAATTTTGCCTACCAGACACAGCCAGTCATTCATTTTTTCACCAATTTTTAAGGTTTTTTTTTTTTAGCATTTCCTATGAGCTAAAGGCCTAGGAAAAGGGCTGCTGATAGTAACAGGATTCAACTTCTGATCTCAGGAGCACCAAGTGCGGCTTGAGAAACAGGACAGAAATGATTCTAACATGATGTGATAAGGACAGAAAGTATGGTGGGAAAACAGGAGAGCACTAACTTAGCTAGAGAGATGGGAGAATGTTTTCACATGGAGGTGATGCACTGGTTTCAAAGAATGAAGAGGAGTCGTCCAAGTGAAGCGGAGTGGGGAGAAGAAAGGACATTCTAAGCAGAAGGGCTCACCCCCTGGTTTCCGGGGACCAGTGGGAAATATACCAAGAATAAATCTCACAATTTTTTTTCTTTATCTATATTCTCAGGATATCCTAAGACGCCTAAAACTAAATTACCGCTTGTGAACACACTAGATGCCGGGACTGTGGAGATTTAAGGGAGTCATATTGCTCTGCACCTTGAAGAAGTTGACAGGACTCACCCACACGGTGAAGTCAGCAGAGCGTTTGATGCTCCTTCCTTTAGTCCCATCACCCTTCACCTCGGACACCGTTTTCCTTCTATGTCTGCCCATTAAGCTGCACCCCAGTGTGAAAATGAACAACATTCCAAGACTCAGAGCAGGCTTCAGGGACAGAGAGGAGCCGCAAGAGGGCGCTGCTCCCTTCAGCTTGTGGTTTGACACAAATTTCATGTTTCCTTTCTGCACACATCTCTTTGTTCCGCCTGTGGCCTGATTTGTAGAGCAGTTTGCCATGGTTAACACGTGAGTCAAGATTTTGTGGAAGATTCTGCCAAAGAATCAACAACATAAAGAAATATACCTCTCGGTTTGGATATCTCTCAACAAAACCTTCTACTGCTTCTCAGCCAGCCATGCTGTTTGCTTCCTGCTCAGGACTTGTGATCTTGTTGATAATCAGTGAGTAATGTTTACTCAGAACTTCTGAGATGTTCTATTCCTTAGCTTTAGGATGACCTTTAACCCCTTCCAAACTGGAGACCATACTGTCTATTGCCAGTATAATAAAGTCTTTCCTTTTTTTTAGGAAGGACCAATGGAGACTCGGTGACCCAGACAGAAGGTCCAGTTACCCTCCCTGAGAGGGCAGCTCTAACATTAAACTGCACTTATCAGACCAGCTATTCAGCTTTTATATTCTGGTATGTCCAGTATCCAAACAAAGAGCCTGAGCTCCTCCTGAAAAGTTCAGAAAACCAGGAGACGAACAGCAGAGGTTTTCAGGCCAGTCATGTCAAGAGTGACAGTTCCTTCCATCTGGAGAAACCCTCGGTGCAGCTGTCAGACTCTGCTGTGTACTACTGCGTTCTGAGAGACACAGTGGGAGGGACTGCAGCGAGAGCCCAGCACAAACCCCGGGGGCCGCAGGTGGGGCCTGGGTGTGAGCGGCTTTGGGAGAGGGCGTTATTTTCTGTCTCCAGGGTTCTAGGCTGGAGCCTTCCTCCATGTAATTCCAGCTCTGATTCTTTGGTGCCAAGAAGCCATGGAGATTTTACATTACACCACACAGAGGAATTGGGGGAGGAACAGTCTAAAGCAGAACCTAAGCTCTGTTTTCTAGAAATGCTTCTGTCCTCAGTCCAGATGTCTCTTCTTCCCCTCAGATGGCATACATTCCTGAGAAGTGACATTAACTTTGCTATGTGACAGTTCAGTTGGTCTATGCTGAAATACTTCATAACCTGTCAGTAAAAACTCTAAGGGAAAACAGTTCATGGACTAATGATCACCTTGAATCTACTCCCTTGTGTTTACAATTGAGACCAAGGTTGTTTGTCTTGCTGAGTTTCACCTGCAGAAACTCCATCTCCAGGGACTGCGGCATTTGTCCTCTCTTCCCTTGACTTTTCCTTCTCTTGTGGTTGCTAAGAAATTCTGCTACCTGAGTAAGTTCTATGAGGAGAGCATGCTGATGAGAGGCTTTCCTTGTGTTATCAGCACTGTGGTTTCAGAGCAGCCCAGTCAGTAAAGGCTGCATCCATGGCATGTCTTGCCCACACTGTTTACACCCCTCCACACTGATCTTCCTGTTGGCCTGGCAGCTGTTTGTTGTAACACTAAATCATGACCTGGATTTTTGACTTGAGGATCTGTGTTATGAGAAATTCTGGATTTGGGACATTACTTTAACTTGGGAACTAACATTTTTATCATTGCATTTATGCCCATGATCCTTCTAAATTGCATCAGATTTAGCAGCCAAGAAAGACTTTATAAAAAAGAGGCGAATGAACATGGAGTTTTGTTCACTGGGACCCGAAATGGAGAAAATAATCTCATATTTCTCTACATCAAAGAGTATAAAACAGAAATGTGGGCCCCTCACCGAAACTCTCAGGATGTAGCTCACCACGAGAAATTTTTCCTAATATTTGGAGTTCTGTGAGACTTGTTTGTCCTTTTTCTATCCTGCATGATCCTGTGAGTTTTACACATAAAAAGGTACAGGTTTTGCAGACCCCGAAGTTTTTTCTTTGATTTCTGGGGTGCTCTTTAAGAAAAAGAAAATTAAATTATAAATTTAAGTTTCTAGGTTCTGGGGTAGAAAGGGGCTCTAAAATCAAAGCCTAATATACTTCATGGTAAATCTGCATTTGGGATTCCATAGAGATCATCTTCTTTAAGACTGAAATATTATAATAGTCTTAGCTTGTCCTGATACTGGGAGGTTCCCTAACCCCCAGTCCTCTTTTCCACGACAGCACTAGAATCACTTTAGCTATCATTAATATGAGTATTTTCACTTCTATCATTAAAAAAAACAGCTTTATTGAGATACAATTTGCATACCTTAAACTTCATCCTTTTAAGTCTGCAATTCAGTGGTTTTAGTATATTCACAGTTATCAATCATTATGGTGATCTAATTCCAGAATATCTTCACCACCTCACAAAGAAAATGTGTGCCCACTAGCACTCACCCCCATTCTTTTCTTACCCTAGCCATAAATCAAATAAAATATATTTTTAATGAAGAATAATAACACAAAACTTTGATGAACCCAGTCTTATTGTAAATATAGGACCTCTTATGAACTTATATCTAAGGGGTGAAACATAAGTCCCAATAATTAACACTGCAAAGAGTTTAATGACTGTGCTGCAAGGGACAAAAGCCAGTGGAGATTGAACTCTGCTGGTATTTTAATAGGATTCCTGTGATTTTTGGTAATGCTCTGGTTATAAATTACATATTTTTGGTTTTTTTCCTATCCTAATCTCCACTACAATTAATGTGTGAGGATTGGAATAGCAGGGGCATTTTCAGGAGCACACATATTGAGTTATAACAGAAACTCCTGCATTTGAGCAGTGAGTAGAATTTTTGGAATTTATTTTTGTTTACACACACACACACACAAATATATGTGCAAATAAACATGTATATATTTTTCTCTGCTGTTACTTGACATGGCAAACACTGAACAGATTTGGTGACTCAAGAGGTATGATGTAAAATCATTTATTAACAATAAACTATTTCTTACATAACCTTTGCTGGATTCCATGACTGGCAAAGTAGTAACAAAGATTGAGACTAAAAGTTTTGCCTTCCTGCTAGAGAGTGAAAACTCTGTGTGGTTAGTTTGCACTTTGATTCTATCTGAAGAAAAAGACATATGTAAGACCAAAAGATGCATAATTATATCATCCCATGTATTCACTATAGCTCATAATAAATTGTAAGCCTCACATTTTCCACCAAAGATGAATTAACTAACCATGATTCAATTTTACCACTGAATATTTACAGTCCAGTAAGTTATATTGACACAAAATTGGTACTTAGGACAGTCTAGGATCTTCCATCTATACAGGAAGCATGTGACATGGCACAGTCAAACTCGTCATATATCTGTTAACCATACTGTCTGTAAAAGGCAGAAGCCTCACACAGCCCGGTAACTTTGCTAGTACCTCTTGAGTGCAAGGTGGAGAATTAAGATCTGGATTTGAGACAGAGCACAGAACATTTCACTCAGGGGAAAGAGCTATGAACATGCTGACTGCCAGCCTGCTGAGGGCAGTCATAACCTCCATCTGTGTTGGTAAGCAGGACCACCAGCACAGAACTCAGACTCCTGTTAGCTCAGAAGGATGTGGAGGGAGGCAGATCTTTGTAGTCTAATGAGGCTTAGAAAGAAGGGGTAACGGGCAATGAAATCAGAGCACTAAGTCCTAAGCCACTTAATCCATTTTATCCTCAGTGTTGCAAATAAGGGATCAGTCTATTTTTCCTCTTTTCTGCAGGATCCAGCATGGCTCAGAAGGTAACTCAAGCTCAGACTGAAATTTCTGTGGTGGAGAAGGAGGATGTGACCTTGGACTGTGTGTATGAAACCCGTGATACTACTTATTACTTATTCTGGTACAAGCAACCACCAAGTGGAGAATTGGTTTTCCTTATTCGTCAGAACTCTTTTGATGAGCAAAATGAAATAAATGGTCGGTATTCTTCGAACTTCCAGAAATCCACCAGTTCCTTTAACCTCACCATCATAGCCTCACAGGTTGTGGACTCAGCAGTATACTTCTGTGCTCTGAATGAAGCCACAGTGAGATGGGTGTTGGTGGGAGCCCTACAAAAACCTCAACAAGAGACAGGGCTCCTGGGGAGGGACTCCGTCACAGACAGGAAGAAGCAAGTTGGGGCTGTGTCAGCACAGGTGGTTTGGCAAGGAAACCTGAGTTCAATTCATGTACAGTGTCTAGATATATCATTTATTAGAAGTATGGGTGTCTTCTATTCTTTAGAATAGATTGAGACAGAATATATAGCACCTATTTTTATATCATATATAGAATTATGCAACAAAAAGTGCAAAAACAAAATATATTAATCTCGTGTTGGTTTTATTGAGGGTGGGAAACTATCCAATTATCTTCAGACCAAATGGATGATTCCATTCATAAGCTGTTACGTTTTCAGAATGATTCATACATTTATGCATTAATTATTATGTAGAATGCTTTAATCCAAGTGTAATAGAAATGCCTTCCATTGATTTTTCTTAATAATGGTATCATTACTAAATGAGGTAGAAAAATTAAATTTAGACTTCTTTCCATAATCATACCAGCAACCTCTTATACATCAGAATAGATGTGAAATGTTCCTCAAATTTCCTTTCTCTGGTTCCTCTCTTTTTGTGACATGATTATGATATTTTAAAAGTATCTAAGTATTTTGCTTTCATTTAGAGGCTGCCTATGAAGAGAGATGTGTAAGGTGGGAATATGTCCTAACCTATTGAATATCTTGCCTTCACCCTTTCCCCTTTGAGTTCTGGCCAGTTTGAAGCTGAGAAGTGGTTAGGGCCAGAATTACAACTGCTATGGCAACCAGAGCCCGGATGGTGTGTCCAGTGTCTACTTCCTGTCTAAACATGTATTTTCCTTGGATATTACAACAGGTGCTCAGGAACAGGGATTTTTATTTCTTTTGCTCCACACAAGTTTTTAGAAACCTGAGTTTTTAACATTAAAAGAAAACAGATATCACATTAAAAACTGGATTTCTAGCTTAGCTATAAACATGGGAAGATCTGGGAAACACTCCACTCCCTGGCGTAGAGGTCAAAAGTTCTCTTTGGACACATAATGGCTTTGATGTATATGTATTTTATTTTTAAAATTTACAAAAATTTACCATTCATTTCACAGTATGAACTAATTTAAAAGTAAAAATTTAAATTATTAGTTACAAGACATAAACTCATCTTCAAGACAAACAAATCTGAAATACCATCTCATGAAACTACACCTGTTTTTCCCCCATGATTTCATGTACCATGGGTATATTCCAGCTTGAGAAACTTAAGCATAGTTTATTCCTAATTTAGGAGGTATTTTTAGCTATAGTAAGCATTGGAGAAACATTAGTTAATAAGACAGACATGGTTCCTGCCTTTATGAAGGCTGTGTTCTAGGGGGCTATATCCAGTATAGAATGGTAGGCAGAGGGAATTAAAGTTTTACGCAAACAACCTATGTGACCTTGAGAAAGTTATAACTCCCCTGAACCTGTTCTCTCATTTGTAAAATGTAGAGATTTAATTAGGCAGTTCCAAAATTTTACTAGCCTCACAAGAGCACATAGTCCACTACCTTTTTGAGTTCCTAACGCTTATTAGCTGCCCTTCTTTTTTGCGAAAGGGCAATTAGTTGTTATAGACATATCCATACTGTTCCACATGTTGCATGATAATGTAACAGTAGTAACAAGAAGCCAGAGGAAGCAGGCAGAGAGGAGAGTGGCTTGTGAAGTCACCTGCTTTCCATACACAGAAACTACTATTCTATGTAGCCAGGCAGCAGAAGAAGAGGGAGAGGAAAAGGAGGAGATGGAAGGAGAGGGAGAAAAGAAAGAAGGAAGAAGAGGAGAAGGAGGAAGGGGAGAGGAGGTGGGAAGAAAGAGCGACAAAGAAGGAAAGAACAAGGGAGGAAGAGAGGAGGAGGGGGGGGCAGAGGTGGTACTTCTTCAGTAGTTATTTTTTTTTTTTTTTTTTTTTTTTGTTTTTTTTTTTTCACAAGGCATTAGACACACTTTCTTTCCTCAGCATGAGAGAATGAGAAAAATTAGGAGATTCCCATTTGACAAGCATGAGGTCACACTGAACTTGGACTAGCTGGCTGAAACTCCGGAGGACACAGCTCCTCCTGTTAAGTTCTAAGGCAGGTTGAGAGACAGATTTTCTAGTAATTCTGGTTGTCCCTTGTAAAATTAATATAATTCGTCTGTTCCTAAAGGAACTAAGAATATTGTAACTGGGAAAGGTTCGTTCAATATTAGAGTTCTCTCTAGAGCTGAGTAGCAAATGCAAATGCTTGTAGGTGCCTGGAGTAGAATGAAATGAGTGTGGTTGTCCAAGTGTTTTAAAAAGGTACAGGCTTGGTGATGTGTCACTAGGCACTGGGCCTTGGCATCAGAGGATAAACAAAAATGACGTAGTAAACCCTATTCTTCTCCTAAGTAGAGTGGGTGTCCTGAAAGGTTATCCAGAGATTGAAGCTTTGTTGTTTGTTCCTGAGTCCTATCTAAGTCAGGCTACAAGCTGTTAGATGTAGACAGGCCAATCCACAAGAGCTATAATACAGGAAGTCTCTTTATGAGGGGCTGGGGAGATGAAGCCATCACAGCCTGCAAGACAGCTGAGGCTTATTCCAGCCTCTGTGAATAAAGTCAATGATAATGACCACTAGGCTTCAGCCCCTGCTACTTCCTAATGATCCTCATCAGGGAACCTCTTCAGGTGTTCCCTGAAATTAGTCACCCTCATACCCCACATCTCAGAGCCTCTAATCTTGCATACGTTGGATGTCTTCATTGCAGAATTGTTCCAGTATCCCTGGGCTAGAGTTTGACTGAGTTCAGATAAAGTGTATCACACACAGAGAGAGCTGGTCAAGCTAATGAGCTGTACAGGGCCCTTAATCACCTGACTTAGGCAACTTCTGTTCTGGACCTGATCCACTGTCGTAAGCTTTATTTATTTATTTATTTATTTATTTATTTAAAGAATGAAAGCAAATATTAGGGACATATTATGTGTGATACAAAGAATCTCTGAATCTTAACTCTTATCCGTCTTTATTACATGTAGTAGTTGCCTTCTGTCTGACCCCTAGTACAACCTGCTTAGCACCTACATCCTTTGTGTGTTTGCCCTCATTTCCATCTTCTAACAGACAAGAAGATACAAGTTCAAGAGCTCGGTGCTGCTTCAACCCCAAATGGTAGCATTAGGAACCTTTCCACCTGATTTCATAACTAAAATTTCCTTTTCTTTGGAAAAGAGGAAATTTCCCCATCAGAATTGGATACCCTTGGGAGTGAACAGTAAATTGTCAAATGTGTACTCTCCCAGAAGTAGAGTGGAATTCTTAATGTTTCACACCATTGTTATTCCACAACCTCCAGTGTCTTTCAGAATTTCCAAACAGAGAGAAAATATTAGGTGGACTTGAAATAGTAACTCAATCCAATAGACTTCCCCAGAAGTGAAAAATAGCTTTGTTTTCTGTTCACTGCATTAAACAAAATACTGCCCTCTAGATCCCATCGCCAATTTATAGTAAGTACAAAGGACAGCAGAACATATTAAACCTATCACAAGTATACGGTAAGCAAAATTTATAGGATGAAAAACTCTGCAAGACAAACAGCTTGTGTCTTTTTTTTCTTCCCACAAACTACAAAGAATGAATGAGGGGATCTATGGATTAAAAGAGCCTTTAAAAAACATATCAGCCAGAACTGTGGCTTTCCCAGTGCCCCATGCTCACACCATATAGAAGTGCAAGCAGACGAAACTCCAGCATGCCAGCTTGAAGGAGGACCAGGGCGAGCAGCAACTGAATCCAGAGTTCACAGATGCAGCCTGAATGGCACCAGTGGTGGGGGCCTGAGGTGCTCCCATGGATCACCAAGGGAATGATGATGAAGCAAATAAGGACAAAGCCACATGGTAAAATGGCTTCATCAGGAGGAACTGGACACCTGTGAGAAATACTGTGCAGTTCTTTAGCATCTCTGACTTCTTAGAACATAAGAAAAATTGTACTAAAAATCCCCTTGTCTTCATCAGGAATGACAGTGAGAGGCCATGACAGCTCTCTGGAGCCAGACTGAGCCACCAGCCACCCAGTCCAAGCAATAAAGATGGCCAGAAGGAGAACAGTGGCAGCTTAGGGGATATGAAAGAGAAGCCGGGTGTGGAGTCTGTGGTGCACTTACAGAGATGGCCCTGCCACCCACACCTAAGGACATAAGCTATTTACCCACAGGTAAAGTAGCCAACACTAAGGTGCCCCTGCAAGCTGTCTGGGACACCAAGTTGGCAGTGAATCAGTGAAGTGCAGGTGCACTGCCAGCCTGTGCCCAGCACCAACAGCATCCCATGGGTCCTGGAGCAGATCTTGCATCTGCAACAGCAGCTATAGCAGATCCATCTCACCGAGAAGATCTACATTGAGATGAACATGTGGGCCTCCCATGTCCTCCACTGTGGCAGGGCAGGAGCTGACACCCTGAAGACTTTTGGCATGTCCAGCAAGTTTCTGCAGCTGTGGTTTTGCTCAGCCAGAAGACTGGAAACCAAGGTCTGTCTCTGGATGCCTCGAAACAAGCCAAGATACCGCACGCCAGCATCCTTTCTACCTTCACCACTCTGCCCCAGGACTGATGCCATTTGCTCTGAAGCCAGATGGGAAAAGGGTACTCTCTTCCCTTTCCCTGTTTGGGAAAACATCGTGTCTCCCATACTGAGTGCTTTGCTCCCTCAGGCTCTGGGCTTGGTGCTCTTCCAGGGTCCTTTCTCCACTATGGCATTAGACTCCTCCAAGAAAGGGAAAGGAAAGCTACAGAACATCTCCAAGCACGAGTGTAAGTACTCTAGCAAGGTTTTGGGGACTGATAGCTTCTCGTAGATCCACCTCTGCTCCAGCACTGGAGAGAGACCCTTCGTGTGCTCTGTCTGTAGTCGTCACTTAACCACCAAGGGTAACCTCAGGGTACACTTTCACAAACATCTCCAAGAGAAGGTGAACCCTCAGCTGTTTTCTGAGTTTCAGGACAAAATGGCAACAGGCAATGGCAACCCATATGCACTCTGTACCTGCCCCCATCGATGAATCAAGTTTCTCTTTAGATAGCAAACTTGTCCTTGTAACTTCCTCTCTAAGGCTACCTTAGAATCTCCCTTCAAAGACTAATCCCAAGAACTTCATGGATGGCCTGTTGCCCAGTGACCTGCATCCTAGTCCTTCTGCAGAAAGTGAGGGCAGGCCTACCCTCCCTGAGCTATCGACAAACAATAATTCACCAAGGATTGGTGGCTTCTAAGTGAGTGGGACCCCCAGCCAGGACCAGAGACCCTAAAATTACGTAGCTGTTTGAGAACATCCACAAGGCCACCACTGGCTTCATTTTCTACTGATTCCTAAGCGCTCTCAAAGTATATTACTGCACAGGCACCCACACACCAGGGAGTGACCATTCCAGTATAAGATTTGTGGCTGAGCTTTTTCTACCAAAGGCAACTTGCAGACGCACCTTGGGGTTCACTGAACCAACCCACCCATAAAGAGGCAGCATTCATGCCCCATCTGCCAGAGTTACCAATGCTGTGATATTGCAGCAGCATATTCGGATGCACATGGGCAGTCAGATTCCAAATATTCCCTTGCTAGAGGATCTCTGTGACCTTATGGTCCTGATCCAATGACAGTCAGTGAGGATGGCAGTACAAGTGCCATCTGCTATGATGATGTCCTCAAAAGCACTGATGTAGAAGTCAGCTCCCAGGAAGGCCCAAGCAGCTCCTCAAAGATCACTGTACCTCTTTCCATGATGACTTCCTTGGATTCCCCAGGTGGGGGGATTGGGTCCTATCCCTTTTGGCTTGCAGTGCCAGAGCAGCCGAAAAATGGTTCAGTGGAGAGCAATGTCTTGACCAAAAACTCATCCTCACTGAAATGAGACCAGGAGTGTAAGAGCCGAAGTTCAGACACCATGGAAACCAGGTCCTTCGAAGCACTCTCTATGGCCAATAGTGAGGCACAAATCATCAAGTCAATGTCTCCTGATGCTGGGGGCAAATCAGAGCGCTTTGAGAACAGATGCAGAGATGAAAGGTCGGAGCAATCTCCCTTCAACTTTATCTGAGCCCAGCCAACATATGTCAAACTTGGAGTTCCAGGCATATTTGTAGGACCCTCAATCTTGTCTCCATTGATGACCCCTTTGTTAGATGCCCAGCTACACCGTCAGGTCAAGCAACACGGCTGCACCCAGTGTGGGAAGAACTTCTTGTCCACTAGTCTTTTCAGACTCAAGGACAGACTCACACCTGAGAGAAGCCTTTTGCATGCGACATTTGTGGGACAGTTTTTACCACCAAAGGCAACTTGAGGGTCTACTATATGACACATGGGGTGAACAATAACTCAGCACACCATGGGAGGAAGCTGATCCTGAAGAACACCATGGCTCTGTTAGGCACAAAATGAAAAAGAGTCTCAAAAATGTTTCCTAAGGAAATCCCAGCCCCTAAGGAAATCCTTTGGTGAATGTGGACCCTGTTGTAAGGAACCAGTATACCCCTACACTTGACGGTGGTCTGGCAGTGAAAACCAGTGAGCAATTTTGTGATCCAGAGTAGCTGTATTCCTACCTTCCTGGTTTCCTTGGGGGCTGTCTCAATCATGAATAACACCACCATCTGCAAGATGATGGCTCCCAATCAGGAGTCAGTGTGGATGTGGAAAAACCAGGTGCAATTGACAGCATTCCCAAACACCAGTTCCCTCACTTCCTGGAAGAAAACAAGGTTGCAGTCTTCTTTTTTTTTCTTTTATTTCGTTTGTCTT